TCTCGTCGATCAAAAAATCACTTACATTGCGGTTCATACTTTAAGTTTACCGCCGAGCAGTCGCGTATAGGCTACGTGCTGCAGACCGGGATCACAGTCTGTCCGCAAGATGCGCGTCACGAAGCACGGGATAAGACCGAGGCCGAAAGCCAACTTTCAGTCGCCAAAAAGCGCGCGAGAGGAAGCTCCGCAGATGGTTCTCCGAGAAACACAGGCCGCTCGAGCAGCCAGCCCCAACGTCTCACGGGAACGATGCGTGCCGTCTTCGCGGCTATTCCATTGTCCCAGGCGCGCTCGAAATGGAATGAGAGCAAATTCGGCTGTACTCGAGTCGGCGCCGCTTCCTCGACCCTAAGAAAAAAAAAAAGGCTCGAAATGATCTATTAGACCCAGTAAAACACGACGCCGCAGGCACTGTGCACGGGGATGGCGCCCGGCAGGAAGCAGAGAGCGTGTCGGAGCCTTTTTCTTGCGCCGAGTGTTGCTCTCCGCGGGGGCCTTCCGCGGTCAGTCGGCAACTGGTTCGGCCGCCGAAACACGGCGCTGCACAGCACACTCCTGAGTCCCGTGCGGGTCCCCATGGCCGCTCATTCCCGCCGTGCACTCTTCCGGAATTAATCGGTCTCCATCTATTCCGCACGGACGCCACTAGAGCATATCGAGCCAATTCTGGTGGACGCTACATGCTGCTTCATATACCATTGTTTAGTGTAGAACTCCGCCGGTGGATTTCAAGTGGTTTTGGGGCGCTTTCTCGATGATATCTTCTTGCGCGTGCAAGAGCGCGATATAGCCTTTGCCACTCTCGAGGCGCGAGCACGGAGCGCTTTTGAATGGCTCCAAATCTCTGCGAAGTTGCATCCTTTTTCTTCGCTTACCGATCTCACCAGAAAAGCGCCAATCTATCACTTACGGCCGATGCTTAGAACATCCAAGAGGCGAGGAATACTCAATATTTGTTCCCCCTTGCCTCGATATTAATCGGGATTGGGCAGTACGGTCGGGCCAGGGAACCGTTTTTACCTAATAGCCGCGATCCCGGCATGATCATAATCGGAGCCCTAATATCGATGGCAACAAAGCGAGGAAGAGCGAGGATTCTGCCCATCGCATGTACAAGTTGCTGGACTTGACGTGCTACATGTACCTGGGCTGGCAGGGCTCTCGTGGTCGCCTTCTAATTCGGGCTGCTCTTATCCGCCTGGTTCGCTCGCTTTTCTCTTCCATTTTCGCCTTCAATATACTGCTCCCATTCGCCGAGGTCTCGTGGGCCCTGGCTTTCCGGTGGGGCGGCGGCGGGGGTGGTGGCGATTGTGGTGTTTTCAGCCTCTCTATTTCGTTTGTTACGACGGTTATCTGTTTCCTGATGCTCATTCCTTCGTCTGCTAGTGTTCTTTCTTTCTCCCGCAAGTCTACGGCAGTTTCCCAAATGAGTTGTTCTCGTAACGTCGATTTATAATCAATGTCAGCTTACCTGAGCACAGTATTAACTGGCAGCCATAGCTGTGTGCGCGACTGCTGAGCGAGTGCTGACGGCAAGCTTCCACAGTCCTTTGCAACTTGCATTCTTCACCATGACGATTGCCGGTCTTAGCAGGCTATTAATGTGAACTCGTTCTGAGCATGCGCTCTAGACATCGCCCTCAAATATGACGTGCGGTGAATACCCCCTAAACAAAACGTCGGAAGCCACAGTTCGCGCTAACTTCTTCACATGGCTCGAAAATTGAGAGCCGCGACCATTTCCTTCCCAGTATACGTCTACATCGGCTAGCGAGGACAGAGTAAACTGGTAATAAGAGGAGCGAAAAATACTTCTCAAGTAGATTTGATCAATTACTGGTACTGGTGAATGACGTCCCGTAGCGGTTTGCGGACCGTCAAACACGCAGACGCTTTGTAGAGGCATATTCCAGCGCAGAAAAACGAAAAATGTGGCAACGTGTGGCCGCCGCTGCCGCTAACAACTGCGGGAACCCGATTGAACCGGGGCTCCCAGCAACTCCTGTAAGTTTAAATGACGCAAGAACAGACGCAGAGCGACGAATGTTGTCGAGGTGCGAAACGTTTACTTCGGAGCAAGATCGAGAAACACGGTCGCTGGAAGGCGCAGACGCGGCCAAGATGCCTCGCAGGAGGCGTCGGAGTCGGAGCGGGCGGCAACGCGGACGCTATCGTTGGCGGCGCTGCCAACCAGCTGCTAATTAGCTGTCAAAGCGAAGCGCTTTAAGGCTGGTTCACACATTTGCAACGGTTGCGTTCGCATGCAACCGAAACGACTGTAACGACAAAGTCACCAAGACAAGTGTTCGCCGTACACAGACTCGCAAAGCCACCCATGAGTCACGGTATTTACGGTGTTTTGGTCGTTACGGTCGTTTCGGTCGTTTCGGTTGCATGCGAACGCAACCGTTGCAAATGTGTGAACCAGCCTTTAGGCAACGTTGCTAGAACAACTGTTGGGAAACTGCCACAGAGCCATGCTTCGAAAAAGTGGCTGCGATCCGTACTGGAAAACCGAACTAATGGCGATCGCAACGCCGCCACTTTTCCCGCAGCGCCCACTCCGGGAACTGCACGTCCGCATGTATCGGTTCAGGTCGAGTCGCGGGGCCGGTAGCGCCACCTCGTACTGCCATTTCGCGGTAGCAATATAAATGAACTTTCATGTTTTCACTAGTCGCTTAAAGGCCGACCACCAGACTCAAGACTCTGCAAGGCAGAAGATCCTCCTCACATGGGGGAGGAGGAAACAGGCAGCAGTGTACAGTGTAGAAAAGGGGAGAGGAGGACGCGAGGGAAAAGTGGAAAGCGCGAACTGGTCGTCGGTCTTTAAGCGTGGCGCTGTTATCCTATTTAGTTTGGTCCCAGTGGACGGGAGCGGTCCGGATTTCAAGGGTGAGTTTTCCAACTGCGTGCTTTAGTAACGTTACCTTCAGGTGTAGTACGCTCCCAAGAGCAGCACGAAAAGTGCCAACACACGTGTACGACAAGAAGAATAAAAAATTGCAGCAAATGACGGAAAGAGATTCCTCTATTGTTTTCCAAAGGGTAACGGAGATGTTGGATTATATGAATTAAGGCATAATTTTTCAATTGCATAGTTGCGTGCCGAGTTGGTTCAGGTTCTAGTGTTTATCCAATTTGCTCGTCTAAAATAGCGGCGCAGAATGCTTCTTTATAACGTTCCTTAGAGCTTTTTTTGTCTGTCAGCAAATAACTTTATTTTGCGCACGGATCCGGGTCTAGTTTGGCTTGGTGAGAGAGCCGAATAGACTACTTCCATAAAGCCCTGCATGCAACACGGCGCGCGTTGCACTCTGGGAACTAGTTGGCCAGGGAGGAAAGTGCCATGGTTTCGGTTTCGATCGACACGTCGACGAGAGATTATACACAAAGCGTGGACTAGAAATGGCCGTTATTTTATGTTTTCTGGTCCCAAGAGCGTCATTTGTGGTCTCTAAACTAACCTAAATGGCCAGACCTCGAAGCTTTAGCACAAGCCCGATACGTATAGCTTGTCTTACGCATGCTTGGTGTATTTTTGTATTTGAGCATTTCTGTTAGTGTTTCGAGGTATGGTGGAGTAGCTAGTGCTAAATCTCGACGCTGCGAAGCTCGGGGATCTTGCTTGTGTGCGAATCAACAAGCTGTAGACCCCAGTAAGTATGTATACATCGAGCTCGCGCCTTTACATTAGTGTTGCTGATTAGGAAGTTCGTTTGTTTCGTGCGTCCATAGACAAAATATAACTTTTTGCGATTACTGTTTTTCTTAATACGCCTGAGTACGCGAGGTAAAACTAGGAGGCACCATTGAAAAGCTCCATTTGAACACACTTCTCACCGCTTATCTGTACTGCCCCGCAGCACTGCACGAATTCGTGAAGTCCCCACCCACTTGCATTTCACTAATATTCAACATCGCGTATACGCATAGTTACCCTGCAATCATATAGGCACATTCACACATACGAACCGTTTTAAGAAAGCAAAAGTCGAGCACTTGTGTGAAGAATGTCGCACCATTCGGTGGAAGTGCGCCGCATGAACGAAATTATTCAAAGCGCATTTGACGGTTGCTAATGGCCGTAATATTTGTTATGTGTTTGCTTTCTTCCTCACTGCGTATGCCGAAATAATTTCAGACACATCGTTCAGGCACAGATCTTGGGCGTCAGTAAAAGGTCGTCCAAAAAGGCTTAGCGAGGAGTAGGGGACGATTGTTAGGGCCCCCATTGTAGCTAGCCGATCTCAGCGTTAGCGAAAACTTAATCTTATGTCAGCATAAAATTTGAGTGTGAGATATGTGATGACACGAGGAACGCATCATAGTAACTTTGGTACAGTAGTGAGGTCGAATTTATTGCGTTTCCTTAAAAGTTCATGCGTCAACGCTGGGCAAAACTTTGATACTCCTGTGAGGATGCGGCTTGCTTTTCGCCCAATGAAGTAACAAGAAGCGGACGTTTGGCAAACAAAATACGTGTAGTGCTCCACGTGACCGAATTTCAGTTGTAGTTCACTGATACTAGACTGGATTACTGACACGAGCTCAAAGATGCACTGGTGGGGTGAGCTGACAAGCCACGTCTTACTACGTTAGCATACGCACGCACAATATCCAGTGTTTCGGGAACCAAGGAAAGCGCCCCGGTCTTCGTTTTTGTGTCACACGAGAATGAGTGTATTGTACATTCGTGAAAAGTCGGATAGTCGAAAACGCAAGCAGTGCATTCGGTCGCGGCGTGATAGCATGAGATGAAGCTGCTCAGTCGAAACCGAAACTGAGTGGCCAACTAGTTCCCAGAGTGCACTGCGTGATATTTCGCCGCGATGGGGCGCGTCGGTTTTGGAAGAAGTTCATTCGATGCCGCTTTGGCAGTAGCCAAAATGGAGGGCACGGAGTGAGGTCCATGCGTCCCGCTGCTGTCGGCGCATGCACTTCATGTCGGGCGGTCTGTGCGCAGGCGCAGTGCCCGGCAAAGAAGGAGGACTCACGTGCGTGCTGGGCGGCCTTGGTCCTGGCCTGCGCAGGAGCGGCCTGGTCCAGGCGTCGTCGGACCGGGCAGCAGGCGTGGCGCTGCACCGAGGGCGCAGCCATGGGCGCCTACCTGGAGACCGACCGGGGCCAGCGCACCCGGGGCCCGCACCTCCACCCTGCACACACGCAACCACATCCTCACACACCTCCACTTCCTCGTTCTGGCTCTAATTCGCCACTGCTCTGTACTCGGTGACAGGTTAAAGGGGTCATGAAACGCTTTTCCAACTTTTTCCTGTTTCGCTTTCCTCCTCAACTCATAAATCGCGCATTCCACCAAACAGTTAAAGAAGACGAAAAGGGGGAGTCCCCTCTTGCTCGCACTCTCGTTTGTGTAATCCCGGACCCATCCATTCTCCCCCTAGAAGATTAGCCCGTCGCTCAAAATTCAGACAAAAGTTGCTTTCCCCACCCCGTTCATTCCGAAGCTGACAGTGCTGTTGAAGCTACGTGCTCGTTGGGCCAGCCACACTTGCCACGTGAGCGTGGCAAATGTGGCTGCAGAGAATGAAGTCAGGTGATGAAAGGGAGGCGGCTGATTGGTCCGGCAAGCGCGTAGCTTCAACCACAATGTCAGCTTAGAAGTGAAGGGAATAAGTGAGGTCCGGTTGCGTGTGACGTCAGTTTGGACCCGATGACACGCTTTTGGGACCGCGGATGTATCATAGTGAAAAGGCAGAGAGGTTGCGAAGGGGAGGAGGTACGAAATAGTCCGCTCTGTTTTCAAATTTTCGCACTGAAAGTCAGGCTTTTGACTTTCTACCTTTTTTTCTTTTGGTCCACCGAACGATATGCTATTAGTAAAATCCCAATCTAAAATGATTTATCCCAACCCAAAAATCGTTTCATGGGCCCTTTAAGGGCGGACCAAAGACGTTTCTGAGATCGTCTGCTCTTGGTGGTTTTTACGGGCTCCAGACATCCTAGAAATCGAAAACTTGTGCTCGTGCGACGTCTTTTTCCTTACCAATAATGTGATCGAAGTTCGTACTACGCCCCTTTCTGAGAGGAAAAGTTTGGAGCACAAAATCAAGCGGAGGCGCCGGGGGCGCCTCTGCTGGATTTATTATGTAGCATATCCCGATTTATTCCAGATTACACTTAAATTGCAGCAGCTAAGGCACTCCTTGATGGTCATAAAGATCACAGCTAAATGAGATTTTCAGAGAGAAGTGATCACAAATAAAGCGATTTTCAGAGAGAAGTGAGCACAAATAAAGCGCTCCCTTTCTGATTTTTCATTCTTACATTATCAGCTTGCAAATCTCGTCAAGTACCTTTGAATGTAATTCAAATACTTTTTCAAAGTATTTGTACTCTACCCAAGATAGTCCGTACTAAAAGTAACTTGAATACTACTCTAAATACATTCTCAGGTGGATATTCAGTATTTTAAATACTTCTGCTGCAGGCCACCAGAGAGGGACAAAGTCGCTACACCTATTTTTTTTTTCGGATGGGGGCCTTCGCACCAGAGGCGTGCGCGGAGCCAAAGGTGCCGCAGCTGGCCCATGTCTCTGTAACAAAGCCGTCCGCCACTTAGAACAATCGAGACCGATTAGAACGAAGTCAACGGCAATCGGAAATTGCTTCGCTATATCCGCTTCTTCGCTATATATGAACTCGTACAAATAACATGAAAAAGAAAAGATAACGCGAGTTGTCACGGGCACATGTTTATCAATCCTGCAGAAAGCGGTCGAGGCTTCCCTGCACGCGTCCTCTGCTCTTCGTTTCAGCTTCCGTCCGAGCGCAGCCAAAGGCTGAGGGACGGTTCGCAACTTCGAGAAGAGCATTCTTACGCACCGCAAAGTAGTTCACAAAAGTAATTTCTTTTAAAAAAACTGTTTTGTGCGTAAAAACTGCACAATGTTCCAGATGTCTACTGCTGAGAAAGACGCAACTGAAGGAATCAAATCCCTGAAGTATACGTTTCTATTACTATATGTAAATGCATGTGGTTTGGTGAAAACATGTATATCCGCTGGCAACACGGCTGCAGCGCGCGGTTTTTCTGTGCGATTTCGTTCCCGTAATCGCCGAATCACGTGCTTCGGTGCTTTCCTCACCGAGTCGCTTCAAAACGCCCTTTCGCAAAGGCACGTTTAGGCGTCAGGCCCGAGAAGTCCTGATGAATGTCTACTTTCAAAATTCGGCAGGAGACTCCGGCCGCGTCGTACCGGGAATGCGTTGTAAACAATCAAAGCGTCCGGGCCACTACAATTCCCTGATACGCGGCGAAATCAGGGCACCCCTTTACCTGCCGATCACACTGAACGCCGAGAAGCTGGTGGAAAGGACTGCGCCTCGAGCCCTGGTATATCCAAACAATCCAAGGAAACATCAACGGCCGGGTCATCGGGGACCTTGCAACATGTACTTAGAACTCGAAATTATGCCGAACAGGTGGAAAGCTCGGACACAGATGCCAGCGGCCAGCCTACGTACTGACATCCCCTGTGACTAAGTTTCAGAACGTGAAAGGGCACGTTTTAAACCTGTAGCGGACGATATCGTTGATACACCCGTAGCAGACGAAATACTCGGGAAGCGCGGGCGTCGCGGCCGACCGGAGGCGCAGCGGAGTGATACAAAAGTACCAGGCGAGATCGCGTGACCTATTGCCGGCGTGTGATTGGCTCCGGCCACACGTAGCTTTGGCTGCGCTCGGACGGAAGCTGAAACGAAGTTTTTTTTGTTTTTTTTTATATATAGATCGGAGCCGCTGCTCGCCAACTGCGCAAAGCTCCTATAAAAAAAAAAAAAAAAAAATAAATAAATAAATAAATAAAAATAATAATAAATAAAAAGAAGAAGGTTCTGCTACGTACGGATCGCGTCGACAGCTGCGACGACCCCGCGGAGGAGGCCGGCGGTGGACGCCATTCTTTACGTTTATGCTCACTCTGTCGAGGATGGCACGCTTTTGATTCAAAGAGATTGCCTTCGTCTACCCCCGTCGAGGTGCCGGCGGTGCCAGGACTCTCCATCGTTGAGTGGCGATGATTCGCCGAATCGGTGCTTGAGCGAAGCAGAGTTTCGCGCAAGAGCGACCTCACCGACCAGACGCCGACACGGATCACGAAGCAAACAAAGAAGCGCGCACGGCACCGAGTTCGCGCTCAAGCTTGTCTGTCGTCGGTTTAGAGAGCATAGATTGAAGAGATGGGGCAACTGCTCGATAGGGGTCACGTGGTATGTGAGCCGTGCTTCCAAAACGAGCTGCAGCATGCGGGGAGTCAAAACTCGAAAGCATTCACCTTTTGTAAACGTGCCCGGCTCTCCGCCCAGTTTCCTCGCCACCAGTGGCGTAGGCGAGGGGGGGGGGGGGGGGGGGGGGGGGGGGAAGGGGGGTGGAACCCCACCCCCCTAAATGCCAAACCTACCATGTTGACCTCCCCCCCCCCCCCTCCCCACGCGGGCCCGCTGCCCTGCTTACGCAGTCGGTTTTGCATGGGGCACGGAGCAAAGGGGGAGTGCGGACTATACTTATATGCTTTCGGGAAATGTTAGTGGGGTAGAGAATGCTCACATAAATAAAATAGGCAATATTTCTTCATTCGTGTTCATTTGATGGGGTGCTGAACTTGGTCTCAGATATACAGAGAACGGATATTTCGAAACATTTGTGAAGTGAAGGATAACAATTTCAAGGCCAAGTATAACAAACTATCCTCACTAAAATACACTGTTCAGTCAACCCAAAGCGAACATAATAAAACGAGCACACGGTTACAATATAAAACAATGTCAGTGATGCGTAAAATGATTTGTAAAAACAACTCCACTGTAAGCAACGGGTGGCGCTGCGCTCACGCATACCTTGAGTACTGATCAGAATTACGTGCTTTCGACTAGAAATTACCACGAATAAAAAGGTAACTGAGACTAGTTACTTCAGAAAGCAATGTACAGGCTCCCATGATCATCTTATTTATGTCAAGCGCATACCCATTATGATGCAGCTGCCTGCGTTCATGGCAAAGAATATCCAGGGTGTCCACCGCTTGAACTTCAATGTCGAGGTGAACATTCAAAACCATTAAACCGAGCTCATTCGAAGTGGACGCTCTCAGGTATGATTTCAACCGCCTTAGTGAAGAGAACGAGCGCTCAGCTCCCGCCGTTGTTACGCGCAGAGTCACTAGGATCTCGAAGAGACGATGGACATTTTGGGAACTGGCGGCGTGCGCGAACTACAGGGGGCGCTTCTCTAGCTATCATAATCATCGTTTGTGACGTCAAGGGTAGGACAGACTGGGACAGACCGCGCAGTTCTTGGATTCCTCGGCTCGTCAGCTCGCTTCATGCGCCGTTGGGGTAGCGCGCGGCAAAGCCCGTTTCACGCGTTGCGTTTATTTGGTGAAGTGATATTTGTAGTTGGACATCTGACCAAAGCTTTAAACCGCATACGGCGTGCGTAGTCGTGCCAACAAACACTTTCGGAGCTGAGGTGTCGAAGTGGTCGGAGGGTGGTGGGCTCTTCTCTATCCCGCACAAAAAGCTGAACGAGGAAAATAGAATACCTAGCGCTTTGTCGCACTATACAGTGTCTACCACGGCGGACTGGGTGTTTTTATTTGTAATGCAATTAAATGCGAAGGTGCAAGCGAGCTGGACAAGAATGACGACACCCTATCACGAAAATATTTTCGTGATAGGGTGTCTTTTTATTCTTCTTCTTCTTCTTCTTCTTCTTATTATTATTATTGATTCGGGCAAAATGAAACAAAGAAAAGAAGATCTCGTCAAATTGAAAAAAGGAAAGCGAAATGCGAGAACCAGTCGCGTGTGTAGTGAACACTTCAGTGAAAGCAACTCCGTGTATCCTTTTCGGTCGAATGTGTCCTGCGAGTGGTTGTCTATTATTAGTTCCGAGTTTATTCCCTTTCTTTTAATTTTGAAAACCAGTAAGTGAATATTTCCTCAAAACAACCGGCAGGAAGAAGAGGAGGCTGGCTTCCGGAGTCGTTCCGACTTATTCACCCGGCCGACCCGAAACGTGCGAGACCCCCTCGCGATCGAAGTAATCTAGTAAGTCGGTGACAACGAAAATGAGGAATATACCTGCTATAAGTTACTACCGTTCGTATGTTTCGTTTTTGCGAACCCAAATGCGCACGTGATGTACTCCTCAGCGAGCGGTTTTAAATTTGCAAACAATTCTTGGTAAAAATAGGATAGAACAAATTAATCAATAGCCCGGATTTGCCGGGCCATGGCCGACAATTTAAGAATTTATGAAAATGTATTCTTTTCTTTCGAACAGAAGTCGCGAGATGACAAACTTCTTTGCCGCGTTTTTCGATTCGGGAGGACTCAGTTGCGGACGAGCATTTGCTCGGCAGCAACTGTCGAGTCACACCTGGATAGAAGCGTCGATATCGGCCAGCTCAATGTAGCTAAAACAAGTGTGCGGCGCTTTCCAACACAACTGTGCGCACGTGCACAGCTAAGAAGACACTACGTCAATTACTCTCTTGAATGCAAAACTTTTTCTAAAACAACCTCCGCAAATCCGTAAAAAAAAAAAGAAGAGTCAGAGAGGCTTTGAATAGCTCTGACGCCCGCCGCGCAAGCTTTACATAATGCTGCGGGCTTGTTTTTGAACACTTTAAAGATTTTCTAATAAAAAAGTGAAAGCCGTTTACAACTCCTTGTAACGCCGAATTAGAGCGCAGCTCTTGAGGAGGAGGAGGGAAGGGCACTGGGGGGAGGGTAGACCCCCCCTCCTCCTCCTCCCTCATTCTTCAATCGAGTGCTGACCTCGGGGGGAGGCGGTCACGTGAACTCGGGGGGGGGGGGGGGGGGGGGGGTCACGTGACCTCGGGGGAGGGGGGCACGTGATCTCGGAGGGGTCACGCGACCTTGCGGCTACGCCGCTCAAGCCGGAAACGGGCCCCTAAGAGCTGCGCTCTAAAAGCAACTTCGAGGCCGCTGTTATTTATTAGAAAGATTACCCACAAAAACGTAATACGCGTTTCTGTAATAAATAATCCGTTTTAATCTGCATAGTTGCGAACATATAACATAGCCACTCCGTGCTTTGTCATAGCGCGTCGTCTGCTCGTGCTCACATCCTACCAGCTGCGCCGTAGGAGGGCGCCCGCCAGGTGGCGCAACCAAAAACATCTCGCCGCCAATAGGGCCTCCGGACAGAGGGCGACCACCTGTAGAGCGGACGTGACGGGCGTTTCACGTTTCTCCGTCTTGCATTTGGAAGCCCATGTGAGCAGCTCGTATTGGAGTTCAGGAACTGAAACCAGGCCAGAATAGAGCTACCAAAACTCTTCAGCGCCGGGAGCTGCCCCGCTTTCCAAGATCTTTGCAGGCAGAAGCGACGAAAGTAATTGCAACGTACGCCGGTGCTTTTTAAATTTCCCGTCTAACTGTGTGATCAGGTAATCCACGAAAGGAAGGAACACGGAGCGCTTAAAATGCTCTTCCGTGTTTCTAGCGGGAATGTTACAGCGGTGACGTTGCTGACTACTTACTCGCGGCGTCTGAATTTCAACTTCCGCTGTCTCCGCCATTTTAATGGCGGCTTGGAATATGGCCTAGTGTTTGTGGGTGGACGCTTGCTCTGACTTTTCAGTGTGAGATATATATATATATATATATATATATATATATATATATATATATATATATATTGCTCTTTAATTTTTGGGACAGTATAGCTATCCTTTTGTTTTTTTCTGGCCGGCACGCGCTGGTAACGCAGTGCTACTTCAAAAAGCGGAGGGAGTTGTGTGCTGTGAGGAAGCTTTTAAAGTTGGTAGGCCGCAACTACGACGACAGTAGAACGGGGAGCCCAAATGAAGCCCTGCAACGTTTTAAAAAATAACAATGCAGCGTGAGCGTCCGTAACGCAGAGTTCACCCTGCTTCGTGATTGGGGAAAGGCTACGCCACTGCTCGCCACACTGGCCACGCGACAATCAAATGCCCCCCTCCGCCATCTCCGCCGGTACGTAAAGCCCCTCGATGTGTTGGCGCTTGTCTTGCAAGTAGCGTCAAATGCGCGAGTGCACGAGGCCCATGTCTCGAGCGGCCCTTGGAAGCAAATGGCGGCGTAGCACTGAAATGAGCGGTCCTTGGAAGCGAATGGCGGCGGAGCACCCGCTCATGGCACGTGTCTCGCGCGCTTCCACAACAATGGTTGGCGGTACTTGTAAAAAACGCTTTTATCAAGGGGCTTTACCGGTACGTTGTCGCTAGCGCTCCTAACGCCCCTATCGGCATGCCACGACGGCTTCTCCACTTGTGATGCGGTAAAGCCGTTTCCCAGATGAAAAGCGGGGAGCATACGACGTCGCGGAGACTGTCGCCGGCGGCCTTTCCAGCATCTTCTGCAGCCCGTTCTGGGTGGCTTCTTGGCAGCGGCAGCTAAGTTAATAAACTTTCCATTCTTTTTTTTTTTTAATTTTCTTTTTGTCATGTCCGCGAGTGCCGTTTAATTTTCCTTCGCTAAAAACAGACACAAATGCATTGAAAATGTGCAAATGGGAATGGGAAATCGTTATCGCTTCGCTGCAGCCGCTAATTCGTTATAACCGACTTCGTTATAAGCGGTTCCGACAGTAGAGCCTTCGCTCTACTAAGTCGTGGACGGCTTTGGGAAAGCAAATTGTCCTGTTTTTCTTAGGCTGCAACAGTATATAAGCGCCTCTCTCTCGCACCTGATGGTCCGCAGTGGACTGTACAAGCACTGGACCTTTCAAGGGCCTCATCCAACAAACATGCTGGGCATGTATAGTGAGGGCATACGGTTCGTTTTGTGAAGAAAATTGGCGGTTTTAATTTTTGCCGTCTGTTGCGAGCTTTTTACAATTGATCGCACGATATCTGCAGTGTTGCCAAGCGCCACCAAGCGCCTTGTCCGATCACCGCTCGGCTTAGTGGAATTGGTGCTTTTGGGACACATTTAGCGAACTTTTTGGAGTTCTTTGTGTGTTTGATAACGTCGGCTTTACGCTGCTTTTTCCAGTAACACGATGGAGCTGCCAAGAGCCATTGTTTTATGCTAAAGGATAGGGGGAATGGAATGAAACGGCTCAGCTATTCAAGGGATGGGAATGGGCCCAGTGTCTCCATTCGTTGGAGGTCAAAGGAATGGAATTATTGGAAACTCTTTCCCCGGAATAAAGTTGGAATGGAATGGGGGAGTGCATTCTGCAACACTGCATAATACATTGCTCCCGCAGCAATAATAATAAATATGCGAACACCCGTTGCACATCCTGAATACTCATAATAACCAGAACGATGTTTACATCTA